CTGATATCCTTTCATCTCTTCCAGTAGGGTTGCTTTCCTCCTGATTTACATGAGAGGGTGTGACCCAATCAGTCCCAACAACTGATGCTCTTCCTAAATGCCTGCATTCCTGGTCTGAGCAGTATACTTCCTTTCTCCATCCACTATTTTCACTTGGGTTTTCTCCATCATGGAGAGTGCTACTAGTTGGAAATCCTTAGCACCCCAGATGAGCAAAAGTATAGCAGGAGTGCCGGAACGAATGTAAACAGAGAATTACCTTATTACAGCTGCATGTGGTGTTATAATTAAATAAGACTGCAGCAGAGCCACTGGTGCATCACATGCGCCACAGTGTCGCCAAATCTGCAGATTTTCATCCTTACTTTTATTAAGCATGACGATGCCCAGCAGGATCTATTTTGTCTGATTATACTCGACCGGAGAAGAATAGTAAAAGGCAAGATAATTAGAAATATATGCCGAAACAAAGGATGTGTCTACAATTCCTTTTTTCCAAGGCTTTGAAATAGTTCAAATTTCTCAGTTGGCTCATATGTATACGGAACCCAAAGGATGTCTTAAATTTAGACATATGTCTTCAGTCTGTTTAATGTGCCAGAACAAAAAACATTGCTTGAGACCACCATGAATTGATCTCCAAGTGGCGGCTTGACAGAGTGATCCTAATTTTTAATACGCAACGCATGCCATCATCATATATCTACAGATCTTTGCGGAGGAAACTGCTGCAGCCTCTTGTTCATGATATTTCTGAACTGCTGTAAGTTTTCCCCACTCCTCCCTGTAGTAAAAACTAGGAAGTCTTTGCTGACATTCTCATATGAGATCTTAATTTTAGAAAATCATTTCTTTGAAACACACAAAACAGCAGCAGCAGCAGCATACACATACTGAACTATTTGCTGTCTTCCAATTATGTGGTTTCTCAACTTACTGAATGAGTAAATTAAGATAGACATGTTTGTGTACAAAATGATAGCCGTTTAGCAGCAGTAGTGGCCACAAAGGCAGAAAAAACACATATGGATGGAAGCTGTACATGATGCATTTAGGCTGATCACCAGGGCCAATAATACTTGCTCCCACCCAGAGGACAATGGCTGTGCCTTGTTTTCTTTTCAGGCTCCATAAATAAAGGCCAATCCATGTGTTATACATGTATAATCAAACAAGCAGATTTCCTTCTAGCAGTTAGTACTGGCAGCGGTGACTGGAGAGAGCCCCAAATAGACCACTTACCGGCTGCTATGGGGGGCAGTGTTTGTGGTCTGGCATGGCCCCAATGGTGACTGGGCGGACTTCCGGTGCCGGCGCAGACTGGAGGAGGATACCACTTCCTTCTCCCTAGGCTTCCAAGGCCTGCCCACAACTGCAGCTAATTGTGGGCAAGCTGAGGGGCATGGCTTCGGAAGTGGACCAGAGGGGAAACCTCTTTCCTCTGGTCTACTCCCTGCCTATATAAGCTAGCACCTGGGCTCAGTTAGCGCTGAATTCCCTACCATCCCACACTTAATGTTACATTCCAGGTCTCAGAATTTTTCAGCTATTGTATTCGGGGCCAGGGAGGAATTGGTCTTCAGACTGCATTGGACTGGGGCTTTTGCCACAACCTGATAGCAGTTAAGGCATAGGGTGGGATTCTTAGTCAAGGTGGACATCCTTGGAGTCCCACCCATTGTGATCCTAAGGAAGGGTATTTGTCAGGGACTGGGCAGAGGAGGAGTGGTGGAGACCACCTCCCCATCCTGACCCTTCCATGGAGGAGAAAGAGGAAGACAGCATAGATTTACAACAGGGTTTGAGGCAGGTCACAGCTCAGAGGCAGATGAGGGGGAAAGCTGGGAAATCATGGGAGAGCCGGAACAACACGTTGTCATTAGAAAGCATTCCAGACCCTCCATCTCCCAGAACCCGATGATCCTTAAAAGTAGGAGAGCAAAGAGCTCAAAGACAGAGGGCACGTAGCAGCACCCATAGAAGGGGTGATGATGATGATGGATGAGGAAGTGGGAGAGATGGGGCAGTGCTGATGGAGATTCACTCAGGACAACACCATTATCCAAGAGGCTGGGTTCTATAGCCTCTCTCTGTAAAGACAGAAATGAAAAAAAGGACGGTAAGAAATTTTTCCTTGTCTTTATACTTTTCTGGGCAACCAGCCAGGAGCCACTGACAGCATCCTGACAATATCCCATTAAGGCAGCCTTTCTCAACCTGTGGGTCCCCAGATGTTGTTGAACTACAACTACCATCACCCCTAGCTAGCAAGGCCAGAGCTCAGGGATGATGGGAGTTGTAGTCCAACAACATCTGGGGACCCACAGGTTGAGAACCGCTGCATTAAGGGGATCCAAGGGGAGGTGCTTCTGTCCAGATGCCCAAATGGTGGCTGATGGTGATCTCAAAATGGTGATATTGGAGAGTGGCCCCCATTTGATGTATGTCATAGGGCAAGTCTTAACCTTGGTTAACCCTGCCAAACAATCAATCAGCTGTGGATTCATTGATACTGGATACACACCCAATGCTTGCCAAGATCCTTAATCACTCAAGTTGTGGCCTATTTTATGCCAAAGTGATTGAACAATGCAGGGCTGTCTTAAGCATATGCGGCGCCAGGGTGCACAGAACCGCCTGGCGCCCCGCCCCCAGGTTGCCCAGAATTGCCCACCTTTTTTTAGCAGAGGAGCCCAGCACAACAAACCACCCCAAGGAGCGCTCTGGGCAGGCAGTCGAGGCGCACACAGCAGAGCTGGCCAGCCGACTCAGCGGCAACAGAGAAACCCAAGGCAGCGGCGCCACCGCCTGTGTGACTTCTTTATTTTGAAGTGAAACTGCTCACACAAGGAGACCACTTACATGTGCCACTAAGGTGGCTACGGTAATATTGTTGTCGACCCTTCTTAATCTGTTCTATGCTAAATTCAAGTTTTAGTGGGCTATAGGACAAGGAGCAAAGAAAAAAAAGCATTATGGGAAATATAGTTTGTTAAAGATACTGAGAGTTGTTAGGACAGCCCTGTTTCCCTCACAGAATTACTATTCTCAAGAGTGGTTTAACTATCAATCCCTCTTCTCAGAGAACTCTGCAAGAGTGTATTTTTTCACTTCAACTCTTGTTTGCTTCCAAGATACAATTGAACTGGTTAACTATTTTATTTTTAAAAACTAACCCTATGACACAAAGATGGCGCCTGTAGCTATAAGTGGTCTCTGGCCTTGGAGCCATTCCTAGTGCCTCCAGGAGCCAGCTGGGAGATAGTCACCTGGATTTTCTGCTAGGAAAGGAACTACAGGAATGAAGAGGACGATGCCTGTCCCTTTACCTGCAGGTATGGATGGGCAAATATATCAATTTCAGTTTCTCATTTTTCCAGTCTCCAGTTCTCCATATTTCCACATCACTTTGTGATTACTATTATTATTTTAAGAAAAGCACTCATGAAAATTCATCAGCATTTTTGTGCAAATTTCCTCCACAATACACATTTTACAAGTGTGTTTGCCTAATTGTAGACCGACTTGCTTAACAAAAACTGGTGGAAAGTATTTTAGATAAAATAACCAAGGATGTCAAAAAACAAGACTTTCTGGAGCAGAAGCAGCATGGCTTTTACATAAGTAAATCCTTTCTCACTAGCCTATTACAATTTTTTCTTTATGCATCGTTACCTAATGTTCACATTTTTGAAAAGCAATTTCTCTTAATATAATGCTTTTTTGAATGCTATTTTACTAATATATGCATTTTGGTGCACACTTTACTCTAGTGTGTTTACACACACACACTTTACTTGGATGGAGAAGTGCATTGCAAAATTCAGATAAGTTTAAATTTCAAATGGTAGCTGTGTTTTGCATTGCACATTGTTTCAGAAAATATGGATTTGGTCTTGTCAAACTGCAGCAAAAGCTTTGTTTCAGGCTTAGCGTAGTAATACTTTCAACAAAATTAGGAGGAAAATGTTTCCTGTGTGTTAAGAAAACACACTGCAGTTCTCATCAACTCACCTATGGACCTTAGCCCTAGGAAGGGACCCATCCAGTTATCTGTTCTTGGTATGTTAGCATGCATGCATGCTAGCAATTACTTTTCCATGTGTTCCTCTGAGATTTGATCTGCTGATAAAACATTTTGTTCAGCATGCAGCACTTATCATGTGAGGTCAGATGGAGGTGGCACGCCCACTTCCTGTTGACTGTTTGCTGCCACACTTCCTCCACTATTACACGAACAGTTGGACACTAAGCATCCTCTTTAAGGAGGTTTTAAAAAAAATTCCGGAAGTGTCGCTTACACAGTGTTGAACCATGTGGCCCAGAGTCCTTTCCAATGGGAAGCTTGCTGTAGCACTCTGCTATATTGATTTAATTCTTTTGTAGTCCCTAAGACTCCCCCTCTGTGTCTGTACAATTGCCAGAGCCAGAAGATTAAAAAAAAATCACATCAATCTCATTAAGAAGCAGTATCTAGGCACATCCGGTTAAGAGCTTGCTTCTACTTTTTTTTTAGCATGATTGAATTAAAGGCAGTGTTCAGTCAACTGAGGAAGGAATAGGAGACCTCTCAGCTTTTTATGGTGTCTATCACCTTGTACCAAAAGCATCTCAGTTTAGTGTTTCTGCTTCTACAGTTTCTTTTATTGCTTCTGCCTACATTCTTATCACAGACAAAACACTGACTCGCTAGTATTCCTGATCTTCCACTGGAACGATTGGCCTTTCAATATGCCAGACCTTTGCGGAGTGCTGCAGTACAGAGCTGCCTGTGAATATCATTATTTTTGTGGGGATGGATATTCCCAAAACCTTAGAGTTGCTTCGATTGTTTCAGTACAGCTGGGTTACCTTTTCATTTGAGTTTCGTGTTCAGTGAAAATTATTTCCTGTCCCATAACCCTGCAAGATAAGAAGTCTCAAAACTGGTCTATAGCTATGTTAGCTTGTTATTTAATATAAAGATCTTGAAAAGGTTTGAAAGGCATGCATTTTAATTTTACTTGGTTTAGTGTGTGTGTGTGTGTATATATATATATATATATATATACATACACACACACACACCCCAGTGGCATATTCCAGGTATATCTTGTCCTTTCCCTTAAAAAAAGAATCTATTTCATTAGTGTATACTTGCAATCAGAAGTGCACAGAGCCCTTCCCTCAATAAATTGGGAGTGTTTTTATCATGTGCCCAAACACCAATTCCTGGATATGTAGTGATTTGTTTGGCACCATTAATGTTAGACATTCCACAACCTTTTGGATATTGTTGGTCAAGCTGAACTGAATATACACCCACTTTCACAGGACCATTTATCACCCCCAAGAAATAGGAGTGGGATGTCTGGGGACTAGGAGGGTGGAGAGGTGAACGTTACAAATATTCATCTTATCATAATTATAAGGTTTTTCTCTTTATTTTAAACAAAAAACTGGTCTTGTTCCCACTTTGGAATGCCCCTGAAATGACAATAAATAGGTAGGTTATAGAACTGAATTCAACTAAGCTGAAGATGAAGTCTCACAAATTTAAGGATTCTATTGCTTTGCCTGCTATAGTTTATAAAACAGGAGGGGAAATTGCAGGCGAGAAAAACACATGAAACCATTTATTCCATGTGGTTCTGGCATTTTCTGTGCAATGTCATCTGATGGAGGGGGGGGAAGTATTTAAATATAATTCACGGGGGAGGAGAATGATTTCACTGAATGTATTGTAGGAGAAAGCAGTTTATAGGAATTATCTGTGGTTTACAAGAAAATAATCCTTTTGGATGAAACATAAAACAAACTGACAAACTAAATAAAACAATTCCTCTGAACTGTGCTTTCCTTTGACAGTTTAAAAACCATCGAAGCTCAGGGAATGTTGAAACCAACGTGAATACTTTTCCTAAAGGAGAAACTGAAAAACAATATTCTTTCAGTGGATCATCTATTTTGAAAATTATACAGCTCATGGCCACCGTTTAGATAATTTCTGTTGTTTAATTGACTGGTTTATGCCATAGCATGCAAGTGTCCTTTCTGGCTGGGAATGCCTTTTAGCAGCTTCATCTGGTTCACCAGCTACTGCCATTCCTGAACAGGGATAGCCTAAACACTATAATCCATGCGCTGGTAACCTCAAGGCTAGATTACTGTAATGTATTCTACTTAGGGCTGCCTTTCAACAGTCATTGTAGACAATACTGGGCTTGGGTCTGGTAGTGGTCTAGTTCAGTACAAGGCAGTTTTCTATGTTCCACTGCTAACTTGAAGAAAAGTAAGATAGAAATATAAATATAAAGATCCAATCTGTTTTATAAGACAATGCCTCATTTTCCCCAAAGACACCCAGGCAGTTCAGTTTTCTTAAAGCCTGCTGTTGCCCCAAACATATTGCACACGATCCAAGGCACCATGGACCAGTTATTTCTAAGTGTTTGTGATCACTTAGAATCCTATTAAGGGCTGCAACAGTTCAACTGTGCGTTTGGTTGGCCAACCAGGCACTCCAATCAGCTTGTAAGTATATCTTATTGGTTGGTGCAGGATTTGACGACAATAAATGTCTACCAGCTCCATCTGGTACACCGGCTGAGACCCTACCTGCCTGCAGACTGTCTTGCTAGAGGGGTACATGCTCTGGTTTCTCTCGCTTTTTGGGAGCCAGGAGAGTGGAGTTTTCACTAAGCACTCATCTTTTGCAAAGCCAAAACTCTCTGGAACTTAAGAGCTCATAGGAAATATGTCTTTAATTATCAACAGTATAAACCACCAGCAAACAGTACAGAAATTAAGGAAGGAAGGAGTTTTATGTCCTAATTTAGTGGAGGGTTTCTAAGTTGTAGCACATAAGTTTGCAATCCCACTGCCATATATATTTTTTAAGGGTGCAGCAAAAAGCATATGTATTGGGTGGTAATGGGGTTTTGCTTAAACAACACATTTCCTCTGTATAGCTAGCATCCTTTATTCTACAATAAGCAGCACATCCTGCAGTTGTGACTTAACACGTACATTTTTGATTATTTAAATATAGGCCAGAGCAGGACTGAGACCAGGGTGTGCAGAGAGAGATACAGTGGTCCCACAAAAAATTCCATTTGAAGCTGATATTAGCCATAGCTATCAATGGAAGGTCCCCACCCAGACATTATTAGTGGGACTGAGGTGCCTTGCCGGACATCTTCAGGAGAAGAAAAGGCTAAGGAGTGAATCCTACACCATTCCAGAGTGGAGTCCCTATGATGGTTGGGTGGCATCTTGTACGCCTCCTACTGGCAACTCCTGCAGCCAAGCTGGTACCAATTATAGTGCTCTGCTTTCCTTTGGACCACATCAGTAAGGCAAAGAGAGGGCTTTTGTCATCTGGGGAGCCAGGACCTCCATACACACTGCCTGGGCTTGGTTTGACTTCACCCCTGGAGGTACAGTCCATTGTCTCTTGAGACAGATGGATGCCAACAAGAGGTACATCAAGGTTCAAAGGAACTTGACCCTCCTCCCCAGACCCTACAGTTACAACCCTGCTCCCTCATGACTGATATAGTTTGAAATTGCACCAAGACACATTTCAGAACTGCTACCTGCTAATATATAAAAGGAGAAACACTGCATTCAGGACTGTTCTTGCCACTGGCAGATGCTGCGAATAGTAGTTCTGGTGTTCATGACATTGTGTGCATTGGTTATTTGAAGCTAGTTGAAGCACTACTCTCCTCATCTATTAACTGACTATTCTGCTTAGCATTTTTCCATTGTGGAAATGGGAATTCATTGGATTATTGAGTCAGTAATAGACTCTCCAAATCACAAGTGATTTATTTGCTTCATCGTAGTCATTGATTTGTTGGACAATGACTGATGGGCTCCTCTACACACGCTAACCTATATTAGAATCTCCATCAGTAACAAGTTAACTGCTAAACTATGTCAAAAGACAGGTAACATCCTTATATATGCAAAACTTACAACTCTGAAGCATATATGGCATATAGTCTTTTAAAGGATATATGAATTTTATGCATGTGTGTGTGTGTACACATACATACATACATATGTATGTATATATACATACATACGCTTTTTTCTGGGGGAACGCAAGGGTACGCATACCACTAAACATTTTGTGAATCTAAGTTTGGCCTCATTGAGGGGCAGTATTTCAATATGAGTAGGAAAAATGAGAGTACCTTTAAACATTGTTTTAGAAAAAAAGCACTGTGTGTGTGTGTGTGTGTGTGTGTGTGTGTGTGTGTGTTTGCTCATTGGTTTGCATGAATGAAAAGAGGCAACATATTATGGCTACTCACATTCCCTCTCCCATCTTTTCTGTGATTTCAAATGTGTGCATTGTGTTATATCCCTTATGGAAGGCCTACACACTGTGCGCTTTGTCACTGATGGATTTTAATTTTATGGTTGCAAGCAACAACCTGCAACAACCTAGTAACATTTCCTTCCGCTGGTCTTCCACACATACCCATAAAAGTATTACATCACACATGTTCTTCCTCCACCATATGGACAACATACAATCAGGAAGTAGGCCATCATTTCACTGGCCTTGTTGGTAACATGGTTACATTCCTTTCATGGTGATCAAGCCTTTCCCTCTATAGAAGGAATTCTATCAAGAAATACAGAAGCATCAAAACGTGATCCAGAGCTTACTTGGCTAATCATACTGCTCTTTGCTGTATGGATTGGGAATTGCCCTCTTTCCTTGTACACCTTCACCACACCGTGTGTGTGTGTGTGTGTATTATATGTGCACATAGTGTGTGTGTGTTTATGTGTGTATAAATACAGATATACACTGTAGTGTAAAAACACTAGTAACATATTATGCGGAAAGTGCTGCTTTGGGCAATATATATAGTTTGGTGATAGAACTAAATGGTCTATCATCCCCTTCAAGTTAAAAATTATTTAAACAGCTTGCAACAAGCAAGAACAACAGACTGGGTGGAGTTAGGATAGTATGCAGGGGTGCCACTGGAACAAAATATTGGGGGAGGAATGAAAGCTTCACCCCGTATAATCGATCACAAGAGACAGGGTGCATACAACATTTGAATGGCAATGCCCATCAACTTCAAATGGGACTGTGTTGGATTTTCTTAGCAATTGGCCATTTACATGTAGATTTAATTTAATAGCACTATAATCCCTGCTCCCAACTAGTTTAATAACACATCTTGCACCAGATCTTGGGCGCCCCTTAAGCTCCTTGATAAAATAAAAACCAAAGTACTCCACTTGTTACACTAGTTGTATGTGGTGTTATTACGAATCCAATTGCTCAAAATGCTCCTAATAATTGCCTGTACTAATATATTGACTTAATACAAGCACAACATACAAGGATTGTGAGATTTTAAAAGGATAAAAAATCCCCCCTCCCCCCGTAGGTAAGCAGCTTAAATCTTCATTGATTTCAGTGGATGTAGGATCAGATATTTCTTCATTTTTGAACTTCTTTCCTTTATCTAAAATCATTGGAGCCCCGATTCATTAATACCTCTGCCAGATATCTGATGTAAGAAACATAATTACAGCTCAAGACCTTGTCTTACATCATTAACCAGAACTTTGGCTTTTGTGCCCACAATGATTTGAGTGAAGAATTGCTTTTCAGAGGCTGTCATGACTAAAAAGTCATTACAATCAAAATTTCCATTGTTGATTTATTCCTGCTATTTGGGCTCTTAATTTTCAGGGCTTACCAATTAGTTCCGATGATTAGAACGAGAGCTGTTACGCTTAAACTAAAGGATGTTGCCTCCATTCTTCAGAGACTTCCGTGTTGGGTTTTTTTTTTTAAAAAAACCTAAATAGACTTCTCTTATTGTTCATGTTTTCTCTCGTCTTAGGTTATTAATTGCTATGGCTATGATGGGCTTTGATTTATTTAAATCAAAACAGGCCTATCTGGCTTCAGTTACTCTTCATTTAACTTCACGTAGACATCGTTAGAAGTCTTACTGATACAAAGCACATCTGGTTTTGATAAATGACATCTGGGGATGCATGGCACCAGTCAGCTCCAAAAACATCCGCAGTTTACCATGCATCATTAGA